CCTCAGGAATGATCAGGAAGGTGGGGGAAGGTCCCTGTGGGGCACGCAGGAGTTCTGGGGGGCGCTGGGGTGAGGGGTGGTGGGTGGGAGAGCCCCCCCGCTCCGCTGGGAGAGCAGGACTGCGCCCTCCCGTCCTGCCCGTGCAAAGCGGATCCCAGAACTTTGAAAAACAAGCACTGGCAGCGGGGAGGGCAAGGAAAAAAGGGGCAGAGGAGCCCTTTTCCCACCTTTCCAGGGGCTGCCCCTTCTCCTGCCGCCGGCCGTTGAGTCCGAGGCTGCGATGTGTCAGCAGTGCCGAAAACTGCCTTATTAGGAGAGAAAGTATCGGGGAAAATCAGTTCTTTGCTCAAAGCCGCTGCTCCCAGCCCAGGGCTGCCTTTGAGTGCCAGCCTGTGCTCATTCCTTAGGGAATGACTAGACATGAGCTCAGCGGCGTGGCCGAGAGGTGAGAGCATCCTCCCAGCGATCCCACCGGCTCCTGGCAGCAGCAGGAAAACCCCGGCTCGTCCCCGAGCCTTGTTCTCTCCATCCTACCTCAAAGAGCAGCCGGGAGAACGCGAGAGCGAGGGTTTGGTGGTGGCAGCTGCAGGTGCCGTGGCTGGGGACAATGCCGGGATCGGATGACTCTGCAAAGCTCGGAGCTCCTGCTGCAGACGCTGCCGCTTGCCCGGGGCTCTGCGTGTGAGGTTCGCTCTGTCTCAGTCATCCCGGAGCCTGCCTGTGCTTCCAGCCCTGCATTCCCTTGTCGTGAGGTTATGCCACACCGCTAAAATCCCGGCAAGTTTTCCAGGGAGTGCTCGCACGGGTCAGGTCGGTGCCGCTGGGGAGGTTGGCCCTGACAACCGGAGCAGCTCTTGGGTTTGGGGTCTGGGTTTGCATCCCTCACTCTTCCTCCATGGCAGTCAGATACTTTAATAGGGTTTTAATAGGGTTTTCTTTCCTTATTTTGGACAGTCTGGGATCAAGTTGTCACCAGAGCATTGAGCCCAGCCTTGTGGGTGACACAGGGGTGGTCACAGCAGCAGGGCCATAGCAGGACACCCCTGGCTCTGGGGTCTCACTGGGTGGGGAGGAAAGGTCCTGTTACACTCATTGCTCTGGTTCACATCCCCTCTCCTTCCCAGGGACCTGATGGCACAGCCTGAGCCCCCTCCAGAGCTGCAGCTGGATGAAGCCGGAGCATCCCCAGCCCCACAGGGAGCAGCTGAAGGAGCTGCTCCACACCCAGAATGTCTTCACACCCCATCGGAGCCAGCAGGGAACAGATCTAAACCCCTGCACAGGAGCAGCCCAGACTCCAGCCGGGATCTGCAGGATGCCAGCAGGGATCCTTGCTTGGAGATAAACACACCAGGGACCCAGCTGGATGTGGATGGGGCAGGAGTCCCTCTGGATGTGGATGGGGCAGGAGTCCCACTGGATGTGGATGGGGCAGGAATCCCACTGGATGTGGATGCAGGTGGGACAGGAATCCCACTGGACATGGATGCAGATGGAGTAGAGATTCCACTGGAGGTGGATGCGCGTGGGACAGGGATCCCAGTGGATGTGGGTGCGGCAGGAGTCCCGCTGGACGTGGATGAAGGTGGGACGGGGATCCCACTGGCCATGGACACAGACAGGGCAGGGATCCCAGACAATGCAGATGGGGCAGGGATCCCGCTGGATATGGACACAGAGGGAGCGGGCGGCCCTCTGGATGCCGATGCCACAGAGCACCAGTGCCTGACCCTGGAAGAGCTGGGGAATTATTTCCAGGAGTGCATTGAGATCGTGGAACAGCTGGAGAGGGAGAGGGACAGCCTGATCGCCGAGCTGGCCCAGCTCCGGGAGCCGGCGCTGCAGGAGATCCGCCATGCCCACGAGGAGATCCAGGCAGCCTGCAGGCTGCTGGCCAAGGTGGAGCTGGAGAGGGACAACCTGCGGGATGAGATTCGGCAGATCAAGCAGAAACTCTTCAAGGTGACCAAGGAATGCGTGGCCTGTCAGTACCAGCTGGAGAGCCGCCGGCACGACCTCTCCCAGCACGCCGTCTACCAGGGCGAGCTGGAGAGCCAGGCCGGGCAGCTCTCGGGGGAGCTGTCCCAGCTGAAGGAGACCTGCGAGAAGGAGAAGGAAGTCCTGAGGCAGCGCCTGGAGGCTCCGCCGTGCCGGCAGGACAACCTGTACCTCCAGGAGAGCCGCCGGCTTTCCGTGGAGTTCGAGAGCTTCGTGGCCGAGAGCCGGCGGGGGCTGGAGGAGCACTACGAGCCCCAGCTGCTGCGGCTGCTGGAGCGGCGCGAGGCCGGGGCCAAGGCGCTGCAGGAGATGCAGGGAGAGATCCAGGGCATGAAGGAAGCCCTGAGGCCCTTGCAGGGTGAGGTCAGCCGGCTGAGGCTGCAGAACCGCAGCCTGGAGGAGCAGATTGTCCTGGTCAAGCAAAAAAGGGATGAGGAGGTCGGGCAGTACCGGGTATGTGCCCCAAAGGACACTGCTCCATCCTTTTCTGAGGATGGGAGTCGTGCTTTGCATCCAGGAAAATGAGGATGCTGCAGGATTTGCTTGTAGGGCCCAGGGAAGGAGTGGGGTGGATGAGGATGGGGAGGATGTGGAACATCTGATTGGAATCAAAATCATCCCACACCTGGCACGGGCCAGGTGAAACAGCAGGCTTAAGGCAAACCTGTGGTGGGGAAGCTTGGGGCTTCACCCAGCTTGGAAAACTGGTTTCTCCTGGATAAATTCACTTGGTTTTGGCCCCTCAGAAATGGCTGCAGGGATGAGGTGGAAGGGATGGGGATTTCCTTCCCAAAGCTCAGCGATGCTGTTGAGCACAGGCACCATACACTCCCCACAGCTCCTCTGAGCACAGCACTGAGCCAAGATGTTTGGAAACGCCACTTTTAAATACAGGTGGCTTTTCTTTCAAATCCGTCTCCTGGTGGGGAAGGGTCTCAGCCATTCCCCACAGCCCCAGGGCCAGGCTGCCTCCTGGGAGGGTTATTTCTGGCTGATCCAGGCATCCCCTCGGCCTGAGGGACAAAGCAATTCAATATGTCCAAGAGCACACTTGGCAAAGAGGCTCCACAATTAATCTCCCCCCTTTCAACGCTCTCTGTTCTCGGCTCGCAGCAGTTTCTGGAAACTGCCATTCCCCTTCCATCACGGCTCCTCCCTGCTGGGATGGGGATCAGAAGCACCAGCACCATGGCTTGTCCTGGATTTTCAGGGTCCCTTGGATCCCTTGTGTGCCTTCCCATTGTCCTTTTCTCAAATTCTTTATTTATCTCCTTCTGACTCACAGGTTTATACAGCTCTGGCAGCTTCTCAAAACACACACAGAGTTGTTTAGGGGACAAAACGGAGCAGCCAGGAGAAGCCTAAGAACAAAATATAGCCCAGCCCAAATTCCCACCTTTGTATTAAAACAAAGCTTTTTTTTGCAGAGGTTTTTAAAGAGGGCGGTCGGGCAGGGGCAGCCTGGCTGTGCAGGGAGGAGAGTGAGTGGAGCACTGCTGCTCCTCCCTCAGCTCACCCACTCATTTTCTTCCCCCAGGAGCAGGTGGAGGAGCTGGAGGACAGGCTGAAGGAGCTCAAGAACGGGGTTCAGCTCCAGCAGCGCAAGAACCAGGAGCTGGAGGAGCTCAGGACCAGCCTCCATCGGGAGCTCTCCATCTACAAGTGCGTTTGGGTCTCGTCCCTGCGGGGCAGAGGGGCTGGGAGGAGGAAAGGGATGGTGGGGAAGAGTCCAGAGTGGGGTCACACAGCTGGGGGACAGCACAGACTCTTCCTCCTGCTCCCCAGTGGGGCTGCTGGGGCAGGAATTCCAGCTCCTTTTCCCAATAGCAAAGGGATTTGCTGGAAACTCCTGCAGAGGAGAGGAGTGGCTTCCCAAGAAGCAGGTGTGGCAACTTAAGTGGTGGTTTCCTTAGGGAGATGTGGAAAGGAGCTGAGGTTTGCCTTTGGGAAGCTGCTGGAGCTGTCCTCTCCTGCTTACAGTCAGGTCCTCACTGCAGATGAATTTCTAAAGCTCCAGAAAATGTCCATGAGCTTGTGGATTGTTTTATTCACCCAAGCTGGAGCTGTTGTGTTATTCCAGCCTCAGCTGGAGCCGTTCCTAACCATTTTCTGCAGCCTCACTGCTCTTTTAATATCCCTTTTTCCCCTTCTCCACCCAAACCTCCTCATCCAAACACACCACAGGAGGACATTTCCTACCCCAAAGATTTTTTTTTATACAAGCACAGGGATGAGCTCTCTCAGCCTGTGCTGTCACCAGCCATTCCCAAGGGGACAAACTGCATTTAGGATTCAGCCCTGTCCTTGCAGCCTGGAGTTCTCCTAAATCACAACCCAACATTTTTTAATCCCAAATACAGCAGTGGAGTCTCTTAACTCCTGGAATCTACAAATGGCCAGCCCTGGAAGTGACACCTTTAAATGAGCTGTCACGTTTGCTGCAGGAAGCTCCAAGTGCAAGTCTGAGCTGCCTTTTCCATAACTCCCACAAAAAATGACATTCCCTTCTGTTAAATCCTGTTTGCCAAGGGCTCTGGAAGGGCTGGGCTGGGCCCCCACACTCTCAAGACCGTGGATTGAGCCTCTTGAAGTGTTTCCCAATTCCTTTTTCTTCCATACTATGAAAAGAACTTATTTTCCTCTTTTCTCCAGCCAAAGCATTGATGTAAATATTCCATAGGCTAAATCTCCTTTCTCCCCTCACAGGAGCTGCTTAGAAATCTACGGCCACCTCTGCAAATCAGAGGAAAAAGCAGACCAGGACTGTTAGAACCATGGACTTTTCCTCTTTGTAGCAAAAACCCATGGACAGAGGATACAAGGGATGTCTCCTCATGCTGCTTTACCCTGCCTGATGTGCAGCAGCTGCCCAGAGCTGGGAATACCAGACAATCCCTGGGTATTTCCCCAGGTTCTGCTGCTGTTCTTGTAGCAAAACTGCTTTTCCCCAGAGGAGCAAACAATCTTTGTACTGAACAATGGATATGGATGAGGAATAACTGATGGATGTTTTGCTGTGTTTGGGAAAATGTTATCTTGCTCCAGATTGTTTAAGCCTACACAGAAAGTTCTGGAAGCCAGTGTTAGGTGGGTGGGTTGCCTTTTAAAGTTTACATGCAAGAGAAGTTTTCTCCTTTGAAGAGGATTTTCTTTTGTATTTCAAGAGTTTCTGCTGTACTGGGACGTGCTCCACAGAAATGAGATGGTGGGGAAGAGGCTTCTACTTCATATTGAGTCTCACACTGAAAATAAAAGGTCAGAGTTTAAGGAGCCTTTTCACTCTCAGAGCTGCGTCTCAAAAGCCCAAATTTGTCTGTCAAACGGAGGTGTTTGTATCAAATTCATGCTGCAGGATAACAAAAAACAACTCTGGAAAGGGCTAAAGGCAGAGTTAAAATGCAGACAGCAGCAAGGCTTAAGAGGAAGAACAATTCAGTGATTTGGTGGCTGCTTGGGGGTTCAAGTGCTCATTAATTTATTTCACAAAGCAGCAGAAATGGGAAGAAATATCCAATTTGATGTCTTAAAAATAAAAAAAAATCTCTACCAGCACCCTTATGGACATACACAGGTAGAGATCACATTCTGAAAAAAACCACAAAGCAGTAAATGCAGAAACAGCACAGAACTCCCCAAACTTTGCAGCATTTACGTAGAAAAACTTTATTCCAACTGAAGGACTTACACATAATTAGTCATGAGGAGATGGTGAGTAACAGGCTGCTGGTGGCACTGGACACCCGAGTGGAAGACGTGCAGGACCTTGTGGCCAAGGACTAAACTCCTAAAAAATGTAGTTCATACACATTTCATTTGTTTTCCACCAGCTGCCAAGGCTGTTGAGGGCACCGGGGTCATCCGTTGGTACAAACAAACACCTTTTACAACTTGAGGGCTCCCCCAAGTTTTAAAAACCATTTCACAGAAAGGAAAGAAACATTATGTGAAAACACAGCTCAAGAAACACACAATAGAGCAAAAAACATGGGAGGTGAAGGAGGCTCTGCAGGAATAGCTAACAAATCCAAACCGCTGGCACCCAGCAGGAGGGGGGGAAAGGGAAAGGAAGGAAAAACCCAGAATTGCCAGGAGAGACCAAAAAAAAATTAAAAAAAAAAAAGAAAAAAAAGAGAAATTTCAGTTCAAGTCAGAACTTGCAAGTCTTGTATCTGCAAAGGCAGAAAAAGCCACAAGGTACAGATAACTAAAGGAATTCCAAGGCTTCTGAGTTGTACTGAGGAGGACAAGACCTTCCACACCATTTCTGAGCTGTCAGGAGATTAACACTTGGATCATCTCTGTTGGCTCAAGCCCACTCGGGCAGCTCTGCCAATTTAACTTTTGTTTAAATTAGGCAAAAGCCTGTGGCTGGAGCAAGCAAAAGAGAGAGAGAGAAAAAAGAACTAATCCCAAACTTGCTGTGTGATGAAGGCAGTTAAAAAAGGGACAGCCAGAGGAATAAAAGAGGCTGCTGTAGGAATTCTGGTCAAGGAGCCACAGCAGGGACCTGGCTGAGGGGGCTGAGCCCTTTTTTTTTTGGGTGGTGGGTTCTCAGTGTGTGGGTGGAAAAGCCTGTGATGGGATCTACAGGAGGATGGCTGAACACAAAGTCTACGTGTGTCTCAAAACCAGTGTTAAGTCAATATCAGGGCTGAGAGGGAAGAGAAGGAAAAGACTAAAAACAGGGAGAAGTTGTCATCTAGGATCCTTGACCTTCTGGATCCACGCTTCCTTCGGGATCTTCATCGTTGTAGATGTTCTCTGCCTGCAAGACAGGGATGGAGACACTGAGGGAACATTTCCAACCCCTCTGGACAGGATTCCACCCCCCCTGAAAAGTTCTGGTTATTTTTTATTTGCAGATATGGATCACCCACCCCTGGTCCCATTAACATTAAAGCAGCAACACAAATATCCTTATCCATAAATCCAGGTGTTAAAAAATGTCCTGTAACAAGGAATCTGCTAAAGGAGACTCCACTGCAAGACTTACAGAAGTGTTTCAAGTATTTATTTTCTAGATCCTCTACTCAGCAGCACTTTCTGAAAGAACTACACAGAAAACTGCCAAGAACAAAATTTAGAGATAAAAAAAAATAAAAACAAACAACTGGGAAAATGGTCTTGTTGAAGGTCAAGATTGGTTTCCAAAACCTTCAACAGCTGGGAATGTAGGGGCCAGCAAACCATTCCTGTCCACCAGCACCCTTTTCATCTTTGGAGAATGAAATCTCAAATATTCTTTAAGACAATAATACAGAAAGTTCAATTTCATCCTTGCTTCTCACACACTGTTTTCATTCAAACACAGAAGGGAAAAATTTCCTTTTTTCTTTTTTTTTTAAACACAAAACATCTCCTGAGTGTTTGGAAACCTTTTTGCTCTGGCCAAAGCTAAAGGGGATTTCAGTGCTCCTTTGAGATTTCAGCAGTGCTACAAACTGGGTAATTCTGAGCGCTGTAAATAAAAGCAGGAATGCTGAAATCCAGGAATTTCAACACAACTTACCATTTGCCAGACTTGCATGATATTATCTTCTGATACAGAACAAATGACCCAGGGCTCATTGGGATTCCAGGAGAAATCTGAGATCTTTGCAGTATGACCACCATGGATAAACTAAGATTGGGGAAACAAAACGGGGAATGGTTTGAAATTTGCACTGCAGGATGAGTAATAGGTGAAAATAATTAATGGGAGTGAAAAAACTCACCAACAGCTCTGGGGGACCATCCTCAGCATCTTCAGGGGATTGCTCCTCTCCAATTTTACTGTAAAACACAAAAAAAAGAGGAGGAAAAGAAAAGTTGGGGGTTGGTTTGGGGTTTTCTTTTTGAGGTGTGATACAATTAATCAGTAATATTTTGAGGAAAATTGGATTTACCTCAAGTCCCAAACATTTAGCCTGCGGTCTGTGCCACTGGAGGCCAGGATGGTTTCATTATGGGGAGACCACTGAACCTACAGACAGGAATAAATTTAAAAGTGGGATTTAAGTAACATTCCCAACACTGCATTTTGTACCCTGAAAGCTCTACAAGAACTCAAATTGATAACAATAGAAATATGTGTAAATAACAGTTATCACAGGAAGAGTTGTGAATATTGACAAACAAAAAGAAGACATTTCAGCAAAAAAGTGCCACCTAGAACTTTTCCTGTAACAAAACACACGTGTTTCCAAGTGCAAACAGCTCCCAAAGGTATTGGCTGCTCCTTATCTTAATAAGAATTGCACAAATAGAACCCATGGATTCCTTTAGCAGTAGGCACAGCTCTCCCATGAAAAGAAATCACTGTAATTAAGCTTAACTGCCCAAAAGCTCACATTTATTGCTTCTGCTGGAGATAAAGCTCTCCACAACACACCACTTATAATAGGATCACAGGATTAGGAAGGAACACAGAATTCTGCACACTAACATGGCATTTCAGGATTCTGTAATTTGATTTAGACATAACACAGTCTGAACTGATAATCCCTCCACCAAAAAAAAAACCTCTACATATTTTTGCTGTGATTAAGGCGTGAGGTGGAGATGGAAATATTTAATCTGCTAAGCAGGTGCTGCCCACGATGTGAACATTCTCTATTTACAGCAGCAAAATCAGCAATTATCTTTTGTCAGAGAGTGTTAAAGCTTCCTGAAGGACCAGGCTGAGGAGATGGAAACACTGCAGCCATTTCCCTGGGCCTCCTGCTTCAATCTGCTGCCATGAATAATTTAATGGGCCCTGCACTGCTACCATTTCATCCTTCTGCTGTGGTTAAAGCTCCAGAGCATTTCCCTGATCCTTTTCTTGACTCTCTGTACTGGAGTTCTGCAGCTCCACAACAACAACACCACCCAGAAAAGTATAAACAAATAAAAGAACAGAATATGAGTTTTTAAGTGCAAAAACATTGTGAAAAAACTATTTTTCTTTTCCAGGCTGCTGAGTAGAACTAAGTCTGTGAGGTTAAAAGATAAAGACTTCCCCAGAAAGTGAGCAAGAACATTCCAAAATTCAGGCAGAAGTACCTTATCAGCTGATCCTGTGGCCAGGATAAACTCACTGTAGGGGTTGAAGGAGAGGCAGTTCACCTCAGCTGTGTGAGCATCCACGGAATGACTGGGTTTGGAGGTGTTGTTTGACCGGGTATCCCAGCTGGGAAGGGAAAACATGGAATTAACAAAGGTTTGTATTCCATTTCACTGATTATGGAGATGAGAAAGCTTGAGGGGCTGAAACAATTTGTGAAGGGGTATTCCCCACTTACATCATGAGCTTTTGATCATCAGCAACAGATCCAAACAGGGATTCATGGAGCAGGTGCCAGGATACATCTTCCACCACCGCTGTGTGTCCTGTGAAGATGGTCTTGGCATCCACCACTTTACCTTCTTTGGGAACAGCACTGATATCCCACAAGCAAATTGTCTTTAAAACAACAAAACCATAAAAAGATTACATCTTTAGACTCTCTTTCCCTCCTCCCCCTCAAACCCAGGATGTTTTTGCCCTTCCCAAGGTCCAGCTGTGCTCCAAGTACTCACATGATCATCAGAAGCACTCAGCAAATGCCCGCTGAGGTTTGGGTTCCAGGACAGTCCATATCCCTCCTTCTGGTGCCCACGGAGACGCAGGTCGGGGTTGCACTCCCCAGAAGGGTCTGCAACGAGGCAGGTTAAGGATTCCAGTGCCTGGAATCATTCCCAGCACATCCTGGAATACCTGGCATTAAGTTTATTTGACTTTACTTTAACCTAGTAGCCACCTCCCTGCTTTGGCCTGAGTTCCAGCTGGAGGGAGGAACAGCAGCTCAGCTGTTACTGCTCAAAATTGTTCAAAAAACTTCAGGGTGTGATTGATGAACTTGATGAAAAACTGCTCAAAAAACTCCTCCTGAACCCCCAGAAATGTGAGGTGGGATATTTTTCCTCTTCTCATCATCTCCAGCTGCACTTTTAAAGCGAGGAAGGCACTTTTGATCCACCCCACAAGTGGCAAAAGGAGTTACTTTAATCTTGATGAGTTCATAGGCAAAAGACTTAATATTTAAATAATTAATTTAAATAATATTTAATATATATATATCATATATAAATATTATATATATAAATAATTAATAATTAAGTAATTAAAAACAACAGGGTATCAGGGGAAAAGCTCAGCTACCCACCAATTCAATATTTTTTTCCAAAAAATCCACCTTCTACCACCCCAAATACCTCACAGTGAGGTGACAAAACAAGCAGAGAGGAAGTGCAAGAAAAGGTTTCCTTTTCCAAGGCTACATTTGGATACATGTGTTTAAACTTCATACAAAATAACCTCATGAATAAACACCCACTGGGCCCAAAAATCCCAAATAAGGGGCAACCCAGACCATTTTTTAATCTCTTTTTGGAGGATGAGCTGGCTGCTCACAGAAGCACAGACCTGGTTTGGAGGGGTGTTTGGTGTAATCAAAGACCAGGACATCGCTAGAGGGAGTCTTGGTGGCGATGATGCAGGGGTTCTGGGGCATGTAACGGGCTCTGTTCACCTCTCCCTCGTGGTTTATCTTGATTTCAATTTCAATTTTTCCACTTACTGAGCCAAAGCCTCCAAACTCTAGGAATAAAACAGTTGTGAATAATAAGCCAGTTTCAGAACAAGTGACAAAGAGTTGATTCAAGCTTTGCTACCAAGCTCTCAGAACAGACAAAGTTGTGGTAAAAACAAATTGCAGTTTTAGGACTGTGATACACCTTGTTAAAGCTCCCTTATTTTTATACATAAAATGACTTAACAGTTCATGAAATTGCAAAATCTGGGTGAAAAGAATGAGTTTTGGATTATTTTAAAATGAATTTAAAAATCTTTTTGAGAAATACTAAAATAGAATAGAAACAAGTATTTATTAGACAACCCTGTGTTCATAAATAACTCCAAGAAGCCCAAAGATCAAAATACTCATTGCACAATCCAAACTTCCTGTAAAATGAAAAGCAAACATTGGATCATTAAGGACTTTCACCAGGTGGAAAGACTGATTCAGCCAAGCAAACAGGAGAAATGTCTAACTTGGGGCAGCCACAAAGGTTACAAAGCATCAAATTCAAGTCCGATATATGGAATAAAACACCATTTCACCCGAGGGTGAATCAGCAATCAGGCAGAAGAACTCACAGACAAAAAAAAGAAATTTTTAAATGTTTGAAAAAGTCTGAATTTTGGAAAGTTTGAAATGTTACATTCCCTTGATATAAAAAATATTCTTTTACACGAGTTTGTGTAAAAATCTTTTGTGTGACTTTACAAATGTGGTAATAAAAATACCAATTGAAAGCACTGCATGGGATTTAAGGGCAATTCCTGAGAAACAGGGGAGTTTTCCCACATAAATATTTTTGCAGTTAACCTCCACCTTTTGTTTCCATCACTAGATTATTAACACATTCAAAAAAATAGAGTATTTGTGCATTAACAAGGCACTGCTTAGAAACTAATTTTTTTAGAAGTAAAATCTGAATTTTGCTGCCTGAACTTTAGGGAAAGACATGTTTTCTATTGAGAAAGGAAGGGGAAAATGGTTAAAATCCCTTTTTTTTGAGCTCTTACCTCCTTTCTCACTGTCATAGTGGGAAGCATCAAACTGGGCATCGTCGTTGGGCAGCTGCACACTGGCGATCACCAGGTGGTTTTGTTCATCTGAGGTGTGGGTGCCCAGCACCAACCTGTGGATGCTGAAATCTTTGCCTTCAGGTCTGCAGGGGAAAAGAAAACAGGGATCACAAAATCTCTGTGAGGATGGAGAGGTCCTGGCACAGGAGAAAGTGGCTGCCACATGCCTGGAAGAGTCCAAGGATAGGTTGGACAGGACTTGGAACAACCTGGGATAGTGGAAGGTATCCCTGGATGAGCTTTAAGGTCCCTTCCTGCCCAAACCAGTTTGGGATTCTGCGATCTCAACCTAAAAGTCTCTCAGCACAATCCTGGATTTGCTGTTTATTCTGCTTTAGAAAGAGAACAGAAGGGTCCCTTTACCTTGTGACATCAGGAAGCCACTGAGCAGTCAGGCTGGGCCACTCCAGAGCATGAGTCATCACCAAATCGTACAGGAAGGGGGTGTTCTTTTTCCATATTTTATATTCCTCGTTGATCACACGCTCTTCCACTGCATCATCAAAGGCTGCTGAAATATTTTTTTTTCAATAAATACATACAGTTAATTATTTATAAATGTATCTACAGACCTACACAGTGCTGTGGGCAGGCAATGGATTAGAGTTAAGTACATCAATCACACCCTGGTTTGCTATTTGCTCTGTTGAAGTAGTTACTAAATGGTTAAAAAAAACCCTGTTGCACATGCTAATATTTTTTTCTGGATATATAGCTGGGAATTAATATTAACTATGTCAAATTTCATCCCTGGAAGTATTCCAGAGCAGGCTGGACAGGGCTTGGAGCAACCTGGGATACTGGAAGGTGTCCCTGCCATGGCAGGGGTGGAATGGGATGAGTTTAAGGTTCCTTCCAGCCCAATCCATTCTGGGATGATTTGATGATGATGTTGTTAGACCAACACAGTAAAATTGTGAGACTTAGTGCGCAGGGAAGCAAAACCCAGATTTGCAATGATGTTTAAACGCAAAAAATCCAGCAACTGCTGTTTATAACAGATCAGTCTGGGTGCAGCCTCGAACTACTTGTTCCCAAAATCCAGTTTCCCAAGGCTCCTTCTGCTGCCTTGTCGCTCTCAAACACTTTCTCGGCCCATCTGTCACCAGCCTCCGGTGCAGGCGACGGGCAGACCTGGGGGAGCTCAGCCTCGGAAAAGAGACACCCCCATAGAACCGGGGGCACCCCCATGGAACCGGAGCTCGCCCACGGGACGGAGGCACTCCCGCCGAACCGGGGCACCCTCAGGGCGGGCGGCAGCGGCCGGTGCCAGCTCTTTGTCTGCCCGCTCCCCTCGCAGGGCAGGGCACGGCCCGGCCCTCCCGGCCTCACAAAGCCCCGCCTGGGGGCACGAGGGCGGGCAGAGGGTCCCGGCCCGAGCCGCTCTCCCCGGTTGGGGCGACAGGCGCGAGGAGGCAGCGGCGGCCATGACCGGGGGTGGGGGC